AGCGAAAAGGTGGCGGAACTCAAACCTGGCCACGCCCCCATCAAACCCTAGGACCGCCCCTTTAGAAAAAAGATGCAAGTAAAATGTGGGAGGGGCTACTTCCGGTTTGGGAGGGGCTATTTCCGGTGCGGCCGGCCCGGAAAAAGGTGCCGGAACGCCGTTCCGCCGCGTTCCGGCAGAAAAAAAGCCCTGTATATATGTTATATATATATATATATATGCTTACTTTTTTCAATCAAAGTTACATAGTAGTTGCAGGCTTTCATATTTTTCATTAGACTAAAAAAAGAATACTTTAGTTATTTCTGCTAAAGTATTTTTACAGTCTTAACAATAAATTTGCCATTTGGATGAATTACCTTTTAACAAGTACCATTGATAGAAGGAAATCATTTAATAACTGCAGTTTAAACAGTCTGGGATATTGAAAATGAGTTTTAAAAGGTGACTGTACAGGTGATCTACAAGCAATTTGCTATCAGACACCATCTGGCTGGGAGGCACAAAAATCTTTTGTGACTATTTTTTTCAAGTGGAAGCCAAAATGTCAGTTCTGTGCAAAGTATCACAGTTCGATGTGCATTCATGTTTGTTTGTGTGTATTTGTATGTGTACATGTGTGTGTGCATGTGTATGTATGTATACATATGTTTCTATGTTTTATGTGTATGCACATATGCAACAAAACAGGGTCTTCTCATTCACATATTTCTATCAAGATTTTTTGTATGCTTGTGAAAGTTGGTATCAGAACTGCTTTATTTTTCTTTTTCTTAAATTTATTCTGAATTGTGAGCTTCAAGTTCCTAAAGCATGGGATTGATACACCAGTAAAAAATCTATTAGGCAAATGTCATTTCACCTTCTTTCGTACCAATTACAATGGCAGTCAATTATAGAGTGTCTCTTGAGTATTGTGGAAAGAAATTACGTCGTCGCTAAGAATCCCTAAGAGACTTGATGGCATATAATCAACCAATCAATCAAATTTGAGAATCTGAAATAAATAAATGATTGGCTGAGACTTTTGAGATGTTAATTAGAACAAGCAGAAGTATGTATTTAGATGAGTTTAGGAACAATTGAGGTACCTGCATTTTGATAAGGTCGTCATGAATGTGCCCCAAAGGATAGACACAATGAGATCCTTGGGACTACTATATGTCTGCTAGATAAAGCAAGATTTTATGCATTCTTTTATTTTTCCTTCTGAGTCAAAAGCTTGCTTTCCATATCTGCTATGTTACCATGGTAGATGGCAGATGGTTTACTAAATAAATCACAATGTCTGTGTTCACCCAAGATGCTTAACCATAAACCATAGTTTACAAATGACACTGGTTGGAGTTATAGAGTTGACTGGCTGAATGTAATGTGTGAACCCAGGCATGCTTATTTAGTTCACATTAGAGGCCCTGGTAAGCAGCTTTGCAATAAGTTTAATTGTGTGATGGCTGGATGAAGCAGCTGCATAAACTTTAGAATGAGAGGTGAATCCTGCTATTATCTTTTATTCCAGCAAGTTTATTTATTTATCTATTCATTCAATTTCTATAGTCGCCATCTCAATCAATGGCTCTGGGCAGCTTACAATTCAAAAAACATACAAATAAACAATAAAAAAGTTCAGATTCACATATGAACCTCATGCATTGAACAGACTTTTTCAAGCAAGTTTGGGATAATGATTGGAATAATTATCAACTGTATATTGGGTGTCCGTGCAGACCAGAGGTTTCTAAAGTTGACTTCAGACTTTTAGCCAATTTCTGTAAAACAGCAGAGCTCCCTAGTTCTTTTTCATTTGTGTAAGCCTTTTAAACAGCATGGGTTTATTTATGTTTACTTAGAAATAAGAGCTACTGTGTTAAATAGGACTTATTCCAGGGAAAATGGAAATATTAACATATTTTCTTTTTTTTTACAAAAGTAGTGACATATATTATTAGAATTAGCCTGGTAATATTTTAATATACAGTGTCATTTTTTTTATCTTGACTCACCTTGTTAATATTGTATTAACATAGTCAATTAAATAATTTTTGCCAATATAAATGTGTTAAGTAGTTAATTTCTGAAAGCATAGCATTAATAAAATCCAAGAAATGATCCTACTAATTTGTTTTAGAAGTAATCTATGTATGTATCGGTCTTTCCAGGAAAATGCAATAAATGGCGAACATCTCTGGCTGGAGACCAATGTATCTGGGGATCTGTGTTACCTGGGAGAGGAAGGCTGCCAAGTTAAATTCTCAGTGAGTGTCCTATTTTCAGAATTTCTGCAGTAAATCACTCCACTGTACATATACACTGTGAACTCTCTCCATTGGAACATGGTGGGATCATGCCTATACATCTGGGTGCCTTAGATGGAGATGGTAGCGATGGAACCTGGTTGATCCATCAGAGATCATAGAATATAATAACCACCTGAGGATTTCCAGCAAAGAAGACCAAAAGACATTCCATATAATTTTGGCTGTATTATTTTATTTCTAATTTAGAAACTACTGCTATAATCTGTTGCAGATGTTAGCAGATGTTTTTGCTATTGCAGGGAACATTATGATCAGAAAACCTATGAAGTCACTCAGTTGAATAGTGCATCATCTTCCTTCTCAGTATACTTTGAGGATTTTTACTCTAGCAATACATAGTGCTATTCTCCCCCCCCTCATGTTATCATTTTATATTTTTAAAAGAATATAAGAGATGATACGGGTAGAAGAATCACGTACAATAAAATACAGGTGGAGAAACAAATCTAAAATAGCAAAAACTGTATTAATTGGAAACATGTTATTGTAAGAAATTTTATAATGTTGAGTTTTGAGCTAAAATGTTTGGCCAACATGGGTCAACCTATTAAGGGAAGATTGTTCGGCATACATTAAATTAGTGCTCAAAGTTGTACGTTGAGCGTCTAACTCGAACACCCAAATTTTGAATGTGGCATGATTTCCTGTATAAGACTGTAGTCCAAAGATGGTTTCATAGTGTCATTCTGTCATCTTGATGTATCATTAATACAGAGGCTTATATTGCCAAGGTGATAGTATAGAACTTCTCCAGATCCTACCCACAGATTTGGAGTGGACTGCTCCAAATCAAATATAATCTTATTTGCAAAGTAAGGTACATGCTGCCATATCTACTCAGTAGAGAGCTGTTAATAACACCTTCATCACTATGTATTTTATGTACACTGAACCACGAAAGAAGTCAAGTGGAAAATCAAGTGAAGGCATATAGGAAGAAGAAGACTTATCACTGGCACCTGCTCTGCAGTGTCCTTGTACAATTAATGTGTGTGTATGAAAAAGTATAGATTGCATTCATATCTACAGGCTTCCCTTGCGGTATGCAAATTTACTATAATGTAATTGATCATTTTTGTCAAAACAATTGGTTGGTTTTTTTAAAAAAAAATCCCTCTACTATTCCATTTGTGCCAGCATAGTCAATTTCCACTAAAAATCTGAAAACATGTCAACTTCTTTTCACCAATACCACTGATCCCCCCCATAAAAATGCCTTTCTGCCGTTATTTATTGGGATATTTTCCCCTAGGTCCCCTGCTTACGTCTACACCTGCAGTAGCTACTATTGATATCATGGCTTCAAAAAGGCCATTAAAATCTTGTCCAACCTCCCCCCCCTACTAGAAATGAATATAAAAAGAACCTAACACTAGAAACAAAGTTGGATATATTGTGTCAAGCTGAGGCAGGTCTTCAATCGTAGGACGAGCTTTTATCCTGGGAAAATCTACATTTTGTTATTCACATATACATTTTTGCACGTGTATTTTGAGTATAAAGTAATTAACAATAGAGAATGTTTATTATACATGCACATTCTGGGACAAATGGACACTTCCCTTTGCTTTGTTTTTGTTCTGTTAATATTTCAGAAGTCAGCTGTTCGAAGAAAATGTGCTGCCTGCAAGATTGTGGTCCACAATGCCTGCATGGAGCAACTGGAAAAAGTAAGATGATGCCACCTGCTGGCCTACATGTGGCAAAGAGCACACTTCAACAAAATCATTTGTTTAGAAATTGAAACAACATTTGAAGTGAGATTTAGGTTAAAGTGCATTCTGTATGCCCAGTTTCCATTCCCTCACTTACAACAGTCACCATGGCTATAACCTGTATTCAGTTTTACATAAAGAACTGTTTTTACACAAAAACTGTATTCAGTTTTACACAAAGCACCTTTTCTGACTCACACATTTTATTAAAAGCCAAAATCTGCAGCTCACTTCTGTCAGATGGAAAAATGGGTGGAGGTGGGGTTGGGGGGAAGAACGGGCGGAGAAGTTGGCTGCTTATGCAGATGCAGCAATGTGTGAAACAAATTACAAGAGCCTTATCAATTAGTAATTATACTGTGTTAAAAATCCAATTTTCTATCAGTCCATGCATCTGATAAAGTGGGCAGTAGCTCATAAAATTTTATGCTTTTTTAAAATAAAATATGTCAGTTGAAAAAGGTGCTACCAGACCCCTCCTAATTTTTTGACACAATAAACCAGGGTTCCCCAACCTTTCCGGCTTTGAGGACGGGTGGTGGTGGGGAGAGTAGAGGGGATGGTTCCGTGCAACTGGCCGGCAAGCATGCATGTGCACATACAGCTCCATTTGCGCAAGCGGTGGGCACGCACAGAAGTGCTTGCCCGCTGCTCGTGCAAGTGGGGATGCATGCACAGGCATGCATGCTCACTCACTGCTTCTGTGGCCCAGTTCCAAATGGGGACCCCTGCAATAGACTAATACAGTGCTCACCCTATTCATTTTTTATTGAATTCTTCTGTTTTCTCGTCAGCCCTCCAAGGTAGTCCAGACAAGGTAGTCCACCCATCAGTACCAACTCTAACATTATTGTAAGGTTAATTAACAGAATTGTGTAAATCTGAAAGTACATCTCTCCTCCCTCATCTTTGCAATCCAAGAAGCTATGGAGGGTATCTTCCGAGATGTTTGCCATGTTCCCATTCCTTCTGGGGGCTCAGCTGCCTCTTATCTGACTGTTGCCTAGTCTGTGGCTCTTCCTCTTGTTTCCCAAGGTCAATCTCACATACCATTACCAATTTTTCTTTTGGTTGCTACAGAAATGATGATGTTTCCCTGCACCTCTTATTTGGTCAGAGTATAGAACAGGGGTCTCCAAACTTGGCAACTTGAAGACTTGTGGACTTCAACTCCCAGAATTCCTCAGCCAGCCATGCTGCCTGGGGAATTCTGGAAGTTGAAGTCCGCAGGTCTTAAAGTTGCCAAGTTTGGGGACCCCTGGTATAGAAAGTAATGGGGCAAGGCATCAATACTCCTTACAAAGCTAACTGGATGTAAAGTTAAAGTTAATTAAAGTTAATTAATTACAATTAATTTAATATTGGTGAAGTTAATTAACTTATAATAGAATATCTTCCACTGGCCCAAGGACAGACAACTTTGTGTTGCAGAGCAGACCTTATAGATGTGACAGTTTGATCCTTCCTACTTTCTTAGTTTGGGTCCATTCTGCCTAATGTTAGAGACAACTCAAGTTTGAGTTAGATAAGCAAAGGTATTCATCTAAAATATAAATAGGATGATGAGTTAACACAATATATATGATGTTTGTTCTCTAATGCAAATGCTAGATTTCTTTACTGTGGTTATTCTCTATTCATCAGCAAATATGAAAAGAATATTCTGTAGAAGAGTAACCAGATTGTATTTCTTATAAGGAAATACATATCCTGTGATACGTTAGAGAATAATTTTGTTTTGGATGCTTTATTTTTTTGAATAGTCAATATAATGTCACAAATATAATGTGAATATAATGTCACAAACTAGCCTTTTTCTTATGATAGGTCATGCCACAAATCAGTGCCTTTTTATCATGCTGCAAACAATCTGCTTTTTGATTGATTTGAAAGAAAACACACGTTTCTGTGACCTATAATTGTTGTATAAGCTATGTGGAGCAGGCAAGATAATGTTTTTTTTATTTACAAAAAAGAAGCAATCATCCTGGTAATTGTATACTTCACCAAGGAACCATGTTTGGTTCTGTTTTGTTTTGATTACCAAGAGCAAATAGACTTGTGGCACAGGAAAGAGTAATGAATACACGGTCATAGGCTTTTATTTTCAGTAATCTGATTTTGTCAATTGCATGAAGGGATGCCTTAAGTGTGCACACTAGTCTACATTGCAGATGTATGTTTGTGTCATCAAAATGCATATTTTTAAAATGCATATATTTCCCTGCTAGGCAGGGAAGAAAGTTCTGAAAGGCTGGAAGTTCTAAAAGTTGGTCCAATTTTCTTGGTGAGGTTTAACAGAAATAACCAATATCTCCCCCTACAAATTTGTTACTCAAGGTGTCTCAAGGAATTCATCATGAATATAGTTATAAAGGACTCTAGATCAGCTATTACCACTCAATTGATATTTTAATAATAAGCTGGCTGTGGGTTTTCTTTTCTTCAAAACTATGTTAATCTAGATTAGTTTATGAGGAAAATTCATGACCAGCTCATTATTTAAATCTACCTTAAACTTATCTTGTATAATATATCAGGGGTTTTCAAACTTGGCCCTTTTATATGACTTGTGGACTTCAACTCCCAGTATTCCTCAGCCAGGCACGCTGGCTGAGGAATTCTGGGAGTTGAAGTCCACAAGTCATAAAAGGGCCAAGTTTGAAGACCCCTGTAATATATTATCTACTCTATTGGATGCCTAGAATTTAAAATGCAATTTTAAACAATATGATTATATTTTAGGTAGTATTTTTTTATTGTGACATGATCTAGAATAGAATAGAATAACAGAGTTGGAAGGAACCTTGGAAGTCTTCTAGTCCAATCCCCTGCTTAAGCAGGAAACCCTATACCATTTCAGAAAAATGTTGTCCAATCTCTTCTTAAAAACTTCCATTGTTGGCACATTCCCAACTTCTGGATGCAAGTTGTTCCACTGATTAATTGTTCTGTCAGGAGATTTCTACTTTGCTTCTCTCTTTGATCAGTTTCCATCCATTGTTTCTTGTCCTGCCTTCAGGTGCTTTGGAAAATAGCTTGACTCCCTCTTCTTTGTGGCAGCCCCTGAGCTATTGGAATACTGCTATCATGTCACCCCTCGTCCTTCTCTTCATTAAACTAGACATACCCAATTCCAGCAACCGGTCTTGATAGATCCCCTAATCATTTTTGTTGCTCTTCTCTGCACTCTTTCTAGAGCCTCAACATCTTTTTTATATCGTGGCGACCAAATCTGGATGCAGTATTTCAAATGTGGCCTTACCAAGGCATTATAAAATGGTATTAACACTTCATGTGATCTTGATTCTGTCCCTTTGTTAATGCAGCCTAGAACTGTGTTGGCTTTTTTGGCAGCTGCAGCACACTGCTGGCTCATATTTAAGTAATTGTCCACTAAAACGCCAAGATCCCTCTCACAGTTACTACTATTGAGCAGGTACCACCTATACTATACCATTGCATTTGGTTTTTCTTGCCTAAATATAGACCCTTACTTTTTTCACCATTGAATTTCATTTTGTTAGGCAGCACCCAATGTTCAACTCTGTCAAGATCCTTCTATATCTTAAGGCTATCTTCTGGAGTATTGGCTATTCCTGCCAGTTTGGTGTCATCTACAAATTTGATGAGTGCCTCATCTATCCTCTCATCCAAATCATTGATGAAGGTGTTGAAAAGTACTGGGCCTAAAGCAGAGCCTTGGAGTATCCCACTGCATACTCCATGTAGATGTAGTTCCATTGAGGACCACACACATTGAGTGTGCTTGGTCAGCCAAGCACACACATTGAGGACCACACATTGAGTGTGCTTGGTCAGCCAATTACGAATCCATCTGGTGGTGATGCTGTCTAACCCACATTTTTCTATCTTATCAAATAGCAGGTTGTGGTCTACTTTATCAAATGCCCTACTGAAGTCCAAGTAAATTATATCCATTGCATTCCTCTGGTTCACTAATTTTGTCACTTTGTCAAAGAATGCAATAAGATTTGTCTGGCATGATCTGTTTTTGACAAACCTGTGTTGTCTTTTGGTTATGACTTTGTTTGTCTCTAGGTGTTCGCTGATTCGTTCCTTGATTATCTTTTCCAGAATCTTCCCAGGTATTGAGATACGGCTGATAGGGCTGTAGTTTCAGAGAATCTATTTTCTGTAGTTTCCTGGATCCATTTTTTTCCACTAGCAAAAAAAAAAATAAAAAAAAAATCTATCAAGCTATTGGAAATGAAAAGGCAACACTTAAGACAGATTATCAAAATTAGTACTTTGATCACTATACATTCCTGAAGTGTATAATATTTACATTATAATTTTAGATGAATTTATAGTTAGGAGATTTAATGATGTTTTATTGTGTGAGCCAGTTAGAGGTTGGTAATGTGATTGGCTTACAAATAATTTTAAATAAACAATTATTAATGGGAGAGGGTTTACTTAAATTCTCTAGGAGCTCTATAGGTCTAGAACACTTAGGAATTTGATTTGTTTTTTTCTCTTCGTTTTTAAGGATAACATGTTTTATTCTATTTTTTTTAAAGATTCTATTCACTTCTTCTCTTGTAAACTGTGTAAGCTGTGAGCTTCTCTGGGAGAAAGAAGAGTAAATGATTATAATAACCAATACTTGATTAATTTCTAAATTGCAAAATAGAATCAAATCTTAAATATTCATTCTCAAATGTGAAGAGAATTCAGAAGAAGATTAATTATATTTTCTCGGTCCTTGGCTTTGTGGTCTTTTGAGGATTTGACTGAAAATAATTTATTATACTTAATTTAATAACATTTAGCAAGAGACTACACATCTGCTATCTCATTCTCCTTTTCTTCTCTCTCCCAATAACATCTGGTAATATCACACATGTGATGCAGGTGCCCCTATGTTGGAATTTTTAATGTGCATTTCCAGGATTTTGTAGGAATAGTGATGCTCATTGCAAAGTATTTTGGATCACACGCATCCCTACTGATCCATTTATGTTACCCACAGGCCATTTTATAAGCCATGGATCTTCCAATCTAATCTCAAAGGATTGTAATAGCCAATCCATTAAAATACAGTGAAATTGTTAAAATAGAATAGCTAAAAAGAGACAAAACCAAATAGAAAAATATTCAGTTAAAAGAGAATGTACTAAAGAAAGGTAAGTCCTTCATCAGACACTGAAATCAAGTTAGATTCATTGGTAAATGGGACTTCCAAATAGATAACATTATCCTGCTATGGAAGAGAATATCACATAGGACCTTTCTCCCCTTCAATTATTTTTTTTATTCCACATGAAACTTTACAGCCCCTTCATTGCTGTTTTGCCTGACCCCTGTTGCTGAAAGCTGTTGGCATGATTTCTTAACATTTTGAACAATTTTGTATGTTCCACCCAATGTCATTCTAAGGTTTGCAAACTATATTAAATGTTCCTCTGAGCCACCAAAAAAAACACTGTCCATTCCTGCTATTGTCCTATGAAATAGTATAGATATAATAGAGGGTGGTAACTCTTTATGTTTTTACTCACCACAAATGGATAACCTACCATGAGGTTTGCTAGCTGATACATACATGTTGATTGTGGTGTCTTTGGTACTCTTTGAGTTTGGTTGTTGTCTTGCAGATGCTTCATTACCAAATTAGGTAACATCATTACTGCTACTAATGAAACATCTGCAAGAGAACCACCAAGCTCAAAGACCACCAAGAACTTCACAGTTCAACCTTGAGCTACAAATACTCTCTTCTATTGATTGACTCAAAGTCATTCAGGGGAATATTTGAAATTTTGTCCTCCCTGTTGTACTCTTTTACCTTAACTATTATAGCATATAATATTTTCTGGGGGAAATCATCATGTTGCATTTGAAAAAGGTTTGAATTTTTTTTGGACTGGGCTATGATCCTCTTCAATTAAGCTGATGTTCCTATTACGCATACTATCCATGTGTACCATCACATATTTGGGTAATGAAATATTCATGTGTCCTCCAGTCAGTGTCTCTGACTATCATGCTTTGAACATATTACAAAAGAAGACACTACATTTATGCATGGAGGCATTCTCCATTCTCCATCCACCTGGGAAATCTGGCTTCACACAGATGAGTGGTTTTTCTCATGTACGAGCTTGGCATCCCACCCCAGAAACTGGACAGGGCCACAGAGGCAAAAGCAGTGGAATCAAGTGGCACTGAGAAAAAATGAAAATGTCTTTGTCATTCCCATTACATACACTTCTAGGTCAAAGTGTACCTCTATAAGCATTGGTATGGTATCTATACTGTATTGTACATGGAAAGAGAGAGACAAGAGAGAAGTGTGTTTCTTCCCTTAGTGTTATTCCCACAAAATGCAATTTGAAATTATATTGAGGATTTCTATAGAGGAAGGATGTTCTCGCTCGTGGTCTCTGCACATGGAGGGTGATAGAGGGAATAGAGTTAGTGCATTCATTCCTTTCCTCTTTTTGTGTTCATAATATCCTTGATTTAAAAATGCTTGGAGTGAGCTGTAAAGTTCAATACATTCATACAAAACTGCATTCCATTTATCACAGCAAAGATGGTATAACTACTGCATGTCAATAATATTTCTTTATGCTTTTCATAAAGTAGTCATTTCACATCTCCGTATATCTGTTTTCTGGCACTATGAGCATTTGAATCCTGGCAATATAAATGACATATCTTGAATTGCCTAGAAATGATTTGCAAATTACTTTGGGAATCTGCCATTTAAATGTGACTATCAAACTGAATGTGTTCCTCTGCTTTCTCATTAGCTTTCAGTACTTTATTTTGGCTTTCTGGTTCATTGCTTCTATTATCCCTAATACCAAATTTGAGGAAATAATAATTTGTAACATGGAACCAAGTTAGTTTGGGGAATTATCATAGGTTGGAGTAGTTTGTGAGGCTTGTTGTGGATTTTCTGCTTGATTGTTCTAAAGACAAATTAGTAATCAGTACTGTTTGGTCTCTTGGTTTGCTTCCCTCCTGACAGATTAACTTCCGGTGCAAGCCAACTTTTCGAGAAGGCAGTTCCAGATCACCAAGAGAGGTGAGTGGCAGGAGACAGATTGATACAGGTAGCCTTACCTGAATGACACTTATTACTAAGATGTCTGAGTGTGATGAAATGAAATAAGAATATGGATTCCCAGAAGGGAGGGGTGCATTCCAGAGGAGTAAGAGGCATCTCAGTCTGAATATTATGTGTGACAGTGTCAAGCACAAAGGATCAGGGCCATTTGTTGAGTTTCAACACAGAAGTTTTACTCAAGCCTATACACAAGAATCCAGTCAACTAAAGTTCAATACTAAATTGGCACCAGATAAGGCATAATGGAATTCAAGAGGGATTGGACTTGGATCGTTTATGGCCATGTAAGGACTCTAAGCTGATGACATGTTTAACTCTGTCCCCCAGCTCTGCCTGCTTTTCTCCTACAGATAGAAAAAGCACCATCCTAGTAATTTCCAGAGTATATTGTAAAGAGAGTAGAGTCCTCAGTCCAGTGGTGGGATTCAGCCAGTTCTCACCTCTTTGGCAGAACCAGTAGCTAATTTTTTGTTGCCCAGGCCCAGAATGGACTTCCAGAAATGGCATCCACACAGAGAACCAGTTGTTCACATATTTGAATCCCACCACTGCCTCAGTCTGGCAAAATTTGGGCTATAGGTGTGAGAATAAGAAAGAACTCAGCTTGGAAGGATCACCACATGTCATTCTTAGTTTTAGGCCTGAAACTGATTGTCCAATAGGCCTGTGCAGGATGACTTTTGCTTCGATAAAGTGCTCTGTGCTATGGAAGTAAAATGAGTTTTCTCACTAAAGCAAAAAAAGAGACACACTGAAGTCCACCCATATACTTTTGTGCATTATGCAAATGTAGAATAGAATTAATTCAGTAATTGGATTAGGGGTATTGTGTAGGCATATTTGGCCCTAATAACTGGGAAGAACTGGAAAGTAAACATTTCACAGAAATAACCACAATGGATAAATATGGGAGTTCTAATCCCACACATCTAAAAGGCATTAGATTTCAAAAGGTTAAACTAGGAAGTCCTATGGCTTAGATCTAGCCTAAAAACTACAGTGGCTTTGAGAGTTATTAAAGATTCCAGGTTGCAGCCAGTTCTTTTCAGCCTCATGGCAAGTTTCTATTATAAAATAATAGAACATGTTGGTGTGCTTCATCAGAACTATTCCTCCTTTACTTATCATGAGCTATTCCTCCTTTACTTATCATGCATGATTACATTTTGCCAATGTGAGGCAATGTCTTTACCCTCTTATACATGAGTTGATCAAGGTTCTATAAATAGAGTTGGGGTTTGATTGGAGTGTATTTTAAATCAATTCTATTCCTTGGTTGTGTTTTCCTACTCTACAGAATTTCGTTCGACATCACTGGGTTCACAGAAGACGACAGGAAGGGAAATGTAAACAGTGTGGAAAGGTAGAAATAATGCCATCAAAATCTGTAAAAAAAAGTAATTATAAGTTCTAGTCTTTGGGTGTCTTTTCTTCTAGCAACATAATAAACCTCTTTAAAAGTTTTTTGTTCTGCTTTTTGTGTTTGTTTTCCTGTTCAGATATTAAAATTGAAGCCTGTACTGTAGATTTTAATGACTTCATTTTTGCCATTCCTGCCTTCCCTACCAAATTTTGAAAGGTATCCTCTGTCTGCTAGAAACTTACCCACTTATGCTATAGCTGTGACTTGGGCTGCAAAAAAACAGATAAAAAAATAAGGTGACAGCAATGTTAGAATCTATATTTTTAGTACCTCTTTACTGCTATCTAGTGGCTGTTCAGATGTTTGCAAGTCAGACATCTTACCAGTGTGCATCGATACTGTTTGGTTTAAGATTTAGAAATCTATGTAAACCTCTGATAAGATCTGAGCAATCTGAAAGTCAAAAATATCAACTTCTGGGACTTTTAAAAACTGCTTCCTTATAAACTCATATTTAATGCTCTTTATTGCCCCAGTTCTCAATTTAGCAAATCTGAAAAAAAGAAGAAGCAATTTGTCAGACGTGCAGAAAAGAATAATGGCTCTATTATCTCCGAGCAGCATCTTTTATTTTTCACATCATTCATTCCTCTGAGAAGTCATTTTTTAAATTATTACTTTTGTAATAAACTAGATAATTTCACCATCTTTCTCCTACTCTTAAAAAAGCTCAAATCTCTGATTCTCAACATGTACCAATTATACAGTTGATGCAGTTTTTGAACTGCATTCATTGAATTCCCCAAAACCAAACTTTATTGTTAATATGAATTAGCAGGAGATAATAGATTGTGTTATTAGTGGTGGGATTCAGCCAGTTCGCACCACTTCGGCAGAACTGGTAGCTAATTTTTTGTTGCCCAGGCCCAGAATGGACTTCCAGAAGCGGCATCCACACAGAGAACCGGTTGTTCACTTATTTGAATCCCACCACTGTGTGTTATACCAAAGGGATAACTGCTAGAAGCTATAGCTGAAGGTCCAAAAACATTCTCTGTGTACATGAGGTCCAAGATTAAAAACAACAATACATCATTACTAATTGTTGTAGCATGGCCAGTATCACAAGTATCAAATTTGGACATTTATCAGAAATCCTAAATCAATGCAGAAGATACGGTACTTCTAACAGTGCAAACGTTATTATATAAACAGTGCAACCATGATTGTTGTACGCTCTTGTATGCTCTTGGTGTGATGGGCAGCCATATAAATTTAATCAATAAATTAAATACATACATACATACCCACTTTGCACCAAGGTTTCAGCCTCTACCTTAGTATTCTAGTTTTCACACCCCATTTCTTCAGGATTAATATTGCTAATTGGGATACTTTCCTTGATTTGTAGAACCATGGCAGTGACCCTGAGTAAATCAAAAGTAGGCCCTGCAGTTTGAGAACTTCTTGTTTTTGTTTTTGGTTCCTTGGTTATTTGTTTCTGCCAAGGGATATGAATGGAGCTATTTGGATTAGTTATAAATGATAAATTTGGGCACTGTGTTCTGGATAGCAGCATGTATATATAATGGTCCATTGGGTTGTTTTTATATATATAAGGATTTAGGTTCATGCCCATTGTGTAATCTCACAGTATTCTATTTATTTAAATTCACTCAGACTTGCCTTGAACTGCAAGATGGATGGCAAAGAAATTTGATTGATGAATGAATGAATAAACGAATGAATGAATGAACAAATGAATGAATGAATAAATAAATAAATAAGAGATTTCTAAAGCTTCTCATCTCACAATTTGTGACTCTGGGTGATATATAACAATCAAAATTAATAAATAAAAGTTTATAAAGGAAGAATTTTTATACAAAACCAAAATAAGCACCCCCCCCCATAATTCACACATGATTGAGGCTGGCAATAATAATATACACTCTCATCACATCCTCTACAGCAGCCTACAGCCCAGATAAATAGGAATTAACACCAAACAATCAAGCAATAAACAATAATAAGTATTAGTATTAATAATAATGCTAATGAAAGAACTACCAAGGAGAAAACAACAACCCTTCCCCCCAACACTGGCATGTATATATATACACTCACTATATATAAACACTCACTCAGTATCACACTCACTAGCTCTGATGATGTTACCTTGTCAAGTACTGAAATGTCTGCAAACAAACAACCGAGATCAGAGCATATTAAGGTCTCAACAATTTAACTCTCAGCTACATATATTATGTTCTATTAGAGTTACCGTGTATCTCACCTCTATCCAAAAGTTGATGGTTTGGTCTATATCAGCTCTAGGCTCAGGTTGGTAAAATATATTTTTTCCTATATTGAATATAGAATATTTAAGTATTCTATATTGAATAACAATAAACTGTTATTTCAGAAATAAGTGAACAATTTCAGTTATTTCAGAAATTTTGGCAGAGCTTAATCAGAGCATTTTGAGATGAGTTTGGAAAGTAAAGATATCTATCATCAGTGAATATAGCTTCGACTTTAGCAGCTGTCATATATCATGTGACTATTAAAGCTATGTGTTAGCCATTAACAGCCTCAATTATATTTGGGAAAAATATGTGAAATGTTAATTGGTGATGCAACAAACTCTTATGATTTCAGGGATTTCAACAAAAATTCTCCTTTCATAGTAAAGAGATTGTGGCTATCAGCTGTTCATGGTGCAAGCAAGCGGTAAGTCATTTTCTCAAAGGGTTCCTGCAAATTTTAGCCTACAGTAGCTTTGATGCTGTGATTTCACACATAGCATCCCCATGAAACAAGAGCCCATGGGTGGAGTCAATTCTGCTTTTTATTCCCCATTTCCTTCCTGTTACAGAAATATTGAAAACTGACAGCAGAAAAAGTCTTAGTATGCCCTTTGAGTCTGCCCTTTGAGTTTTTAAAAAAACTTTTAATCTTTTTGCCAGATAATGGACATTTGTTTATCCCAAGCAGGCTAAACCACTGGAGGTTGGTGCCAAGATTCCACTATTCTTTCTTTGAAGTGATATTTTTCTAACATTACTATTGTACTTCCCTCCTGTCAGTTTGAGATTATGCCCCATGTTCTTGATTTTTCCTTAATATTAAAAATAACTGCCTACTAGAACCTTATTTACATTCTGAATATATTTAAAGGCTTCAGCCACATTCCTCACTTTCCTTCTGTCTTCTATACATATTCAGTTCCTCAATCTTTCCCGATATTGTTTTGTCCCTCAGACCTTGCACCATTTTTGTTGTCCATCTCTGGATTTGCTCAATCTTAAAATGCCTTTTTTTTTAAAAAAAAAAAGCAAGGTCTTCAGAACCGGACATAGTATTCCAAATGGGGTCTGACTTAAAGTGCTATATACCAAGATTAGGACCTCCTTTTTCCTGCTGGTGATCCCTCTAGTGATGCATCCCAGAATTTTGTTTGCCTTCATAGCTGCCACACTGTGTACTCATTTTGCAGTCATCTGTTATGAGCACACCTAAATCCTTTTTTTTCCTTTCTTCTAATCCCCAATACTGTATCCTGCCAGAGGTCTCTTTTTCCCAAGCACATAATCTTACATTTAGAAACATTGAATTGCAGTTTCCACATTTTTGATCAATTTTCCAGCAATGCCAAATCATTTTCTGTGTTACAAATGAGCCCAGGAGCATCAACCCCATTATACATCTTTATATCATCAGCGTTATGTATTTACTATATAAATAAAGAGGAACATCTGTTGGGTTATTGAATTAGAAGGTCCTCGTTCACCAGAAAACATACCAAAAAAAGCAAGGGATTGGCTATGCACTTGTTTGGGGAATATAAAAAAGAGAAAGTGGCTTGTGAAATAGCTCAGGGGCCGTGGTGGCACAGTGGTTAGAATGCAGTACTGCAGGCTAATTCTGCTGCCTGCTGGCTGCCTCCAGTTTGGCAGTTCGATTCTCACCAGCTCGAGATTGACTCAGCCTTCCACCCTTCCAAGGTTGGTAAACTGAGGACTCAGATTGTTGGGGACAATACGCTGACTCTGTAAACCGCTTAGAGAGGGCTATGAAGCAGTATATAAGTCTAAGTGATATTGCTATTGCTTATGGTTAGGTTAATTGTGCCAATTGTGATCTGAGCTGAAAGAAGGCAAAGCAGCATAGATGTACATGAATTTCACATGTCCTTTTTTCATATGGAACCCTCTCTTCTTTCAATACAGAACATATTCTGTGTGGACAGAACAGTGTTAAAGATATGTATGCTTTGGGCCTAAAATGCTGCAAAGCAAGGGAAGAGGAAGATTGGGATATGTCTTTTCCTAATACTGATGTTTTTATTTACCCCCCTTCTCACGTTTGCCCTTCTCCATACTCTTCATTTCACAGAGGCCTCTGCTTTTCTTTCCTCTAGTTTCACAATAAAGTCACCTGCTTCCTGCTGCAGCACATTGAGGAGCCCTGTTCCTTAGGAGCTCATGCTGCTGTTATTATCCCCCCCACCTGGATCATTAAGGTGAAGAAACCTCAGGTAACAGCATGCTTCTGCCTGTTCTGACAGTGTGGATTGGTTCACTTGGCTGAAGACTGCTGGTATTCCTGTGTGGAAAAACATGCTATACTGCCTTTGGCTGCTATAAGCTATTACCCCTAATTGCTACAAGACATTGTCTTCTCTTTCCATATAGTTTTTCTAAAACTTTATTTTATGTAACTATTTAAAACCTGGTACAGTAAAATGTTAGACTTTCGGAATTGTGGTCAAAAGCAACCATTTCTTCCTTCCAGGAAGCAGTTTAAATATACATGTATTAATTAGGATTGTTAAACAGCCATTTTAAGAATCTGGAGAATCCTTTCTTGTTGAGATCTCAAATGAAAACTGATTTCCACGTTCAGCCTTCCAGCAGTGGGTGTAGCCAGAAGCAAAAGCAGGCATGATCAGATCCCACAGGAAACATACTGTAGTTGAAGTCAAATGAACAGGCTTTTCAAACTGAACAATTTGGAAAGTGGCCATGGTTCATGTAAAGCTAGCCCAGGTTTTCCAGGTGATCCTTGGTCTGCTTTAATGAGGTAGTTGCTCAACTCGTTTGTTCCTCCATTAGTCTCTTGATTCAATCTGTGGTCTGCTGGATTGAACATTATTCTCCAAGCTGGAGAATGTGGAGAAGGGACATATCATAAAATGTTGTGTTAGAAGTAACATTCTTATCTACTGCCTTGGAACTTGGGATATTTTCACCAGGGTTTCCAATTAATATGCTTGCAATCTATAGATCAGTTATTATTTTTTTTACTAGTATGCTTGCTATTTTTGAGTTTGAGCAGGTATTTTAAACTAAATTATCTTAGGAAAAAAATATATAGTGCAGCAGAAGAACAACCATTCATAATCTTGGACAGATTATACCATTCAATGGACCTTTGGGCTAACATATCTACTTCTGTTTTAAACATCTATAGGTAGATAATAAAACAATATTCAAAGTTATTTTAGGGGAATTTTATTTGTTTTCTTTTAAAAAAGGGCTTTGCTCCATAGAGATATCTGGAAATCACAGTGTCTTCCCTTAGAATTGCTGTACTGTGATAAATGCTTTCCTTTTCACAGCAAATGATACTTTGGTGATTTGAAATACTTTGAGTTCTCTCCATTATGAAAAGATGGAATATATGGAGTGGAGAAAAGTGTTCATGTGTTCAGAGAAATTATGAAAGGAGCTGTTGTGTGGATTCCAGACTTTCTATTAAATGCATGGATAAATGTGGGAAATTGAGCCTGGAGGTACTCCTTCAGAAGGAAGATGAAAATAATCTCTGCAATGGAATATATAATTTTTGGATCTTGGATCAGCAAGAGAATCCAAAACACTAATAACAACAACAATAACAACAAACAAACATAGACCAACCCAAGAAAGAATAATAATTTCTTTGTGCTTGAACTGGAATTATTGTGATGGATTTTTTGAAATGTTCCTTAATGAGGAGCAATATGACCCTTGATATTTTTTTTACTAAAAGAGGAATTTGGCTTCACAACCCTGTTATAAAGAGCTCTGGGTTGAAATGTGCTTCCAGTTGCTCAGAAATTCTCTTCCACTGCAAAATAAGTATTTATTTTTTTAATCTTATTTTAAGAATACATGAACATATCTCATGTGGTTGAGCTTATTTTATACCTGGAGATGGCAGAAGGTGCTAAAGCTGAGATTATTTTTGTAACACATCTCTCCATGACTTTGAAGCCTGCCTGGCTGCCCACACATCTGAAAGACTCATGAGAAGTCTTCCTGCATGCTTCCCTCCT